ATGATGAAAAGAAAATACCATGTTACCATTTAGTACGTATATAGCATTAGGGCAACAGTACTTGAGTTCCTGAGTTTTAAGTTACAATTTTGAGTTTAATGGTCAGAATTCTGAATTAGTTTCGTTTAGTTTATGTTTTGGCACATTTATTCCAAATACATTCAAAAACATTCAGTTATGAAAGTGGTTACTGTGAATAATACTAAATCATTATGTCAAAAATAAAAATACATCAAACATTACATTCCCTGACCAAAAGAAAAAAGGTGCAAGCTTTAGCCTGAGCTAATTGTACCTTAATACTTAACAACGTATTACCCTGTACTCAAAATAGCAGTGTAACAAAACAAACAAAAATATAATATAATAAAGAACCACTAAAAACAAACCATAATTCTCAGTCATTTCTCAGTGTTGATCAAAATGAAGAATAATGAAGAATCCCAAATACAATCAAATATCAAACTCGGAACTCTTTTTCACATTTGGCCCTGATACTCTTCCATAATTTAGTGTATGCATTATATAATAGCAAAAAAAGAAGAAGGTGAGAGTATGAGGATAACGCATGTTTAAAAAGTGCTGTGTAAAGAAAAGTTTTTCAAAACCTATAACTGCTTCTGCAAGCTATTTTCTTGGCTTTTCTGACAAAGTCTGACAAAGTGTTCCAGGCTATTTAATTTAGACTAGCTTGCATTGCAAAATGTCCAACTACTCCTTTAAATCAGTCAAAAGCAACACTAAACCTGTGAATCTAACTCTCGGATGTGACATGATGACGGGAAGAAGTTCACAAGTGAAACCAAGTGTTATATTGGTCACACGCTTGTCAGGTGTGCGTCTCTGAGAAAACTCAAAAATGCAACAAAATACACCAAAATGATATTCAGGTCACCAACATTTTTTTGGGGAAACTGGACCGCCTCCACTCCCCTTATGAAATGCAAAAACAATATCCCCCTGCAGCTAAATGAAAGCACTAATAAGCTAGCCCAGAGCTGAGGATATCATTTAAAAACATTGGAAGTTGCTGTCACACATGGTTTGGCTGGGCCCTGCTGCTGCTGGGGGAGCCACTGACTGCGGCTGAGTTATTAGAAGTCCTTGCCTCTTTATCGCGCGGCTCCAGCTCAACCTGGAAGCCCTCGCCCTTGTGTGTTGAATCATTATCTTGAATGCCCCCCCCCCCACCGGAATAATGCGCGTTTGTGACCTGCAGGCTTTGTCCAATGTTTAATCAAGTGAAATGGCCTGAAAGTAGAACAATCTGGTGTCATAGTTCACTGTCCTGTGCATGGAGGCGATCATTTGTCTTTAGTCAGAAAGTAGAGAGAGCCACTAATGGAGAGCGCGTCGTCCTCCTGGCTTCGGAGTGAGGAAAGCTAAAGTTGATTAACACGCACACAAACACTCACATCCGTGAGCGTGCGTGCACGGTAAGGTATACCAGCATGCAGTGCCGTATCGGTGACGAATGTTGGCAGAGAGCAGGACACGGTGACAGCCGCTGGGAAGAAGAGGCGGTCATGGGAGGAGAAGATTACTGTAATGGAACACACACGCACGCATGTACACACAAACACAAACACACACATGTAATATACTGCAGACACACACATAGACACAAGTACACAAATGCATACTTATAGAGGAGCATGCACACAGACACTTGTGTAATGAAAGCATAATGAAACCCAGAAACACACACACACACACGCAGGCGCTCTGGGCTGAGGGCTTGGCAGAGCAGAGTAGATAGATTAGTGTAATAGTCTCGGCCAAGGCAATCATCTGCCCACTGTAGGGCTTCAAATACTGGCAGCAAGATCCCGCTCAGACACAAAGAAATTAACCACAATGAATGAGTCAGTTTGGATGATTTTACAATCCTGACGGCTCACACAGTCAGGGAATAATCATATGCAAGGCAAAAACAAAATCCACTGATTTGCATGAAAATACATTTTGTGAACTCTGCATGCAGCGGAGCAGGGCCCGGGCACATTATCGATATCTCGATGTTGCATTGTATCGATATGAATTATAAATGTCGACAGCTTGGCTTACATGTTGACGATGAATACCAGCTATGCAATGTGAGTGTTATTGGCCGCAGCGTCCGGTTGAATGGATTTTGCTCAGAAGCTCATTTGGGCCGTGTCCAGGTCAGGAGGAGGAGTCATGTAGCTAATGGTTTCTTGGAAGCGAATGTTCCTGAGGTGGCGAGAAGAGAGAACGTAATCTATTTGTGTGGATACGTGGCGAAGCGGCAAATAAACCCTCCAGCGAGGTACATAATTGCTGCCACTTTCATGGATTTTTTAACCAAAGCACATTCAGTGTTTTTCGGAATTTAACACAAGCTGCAAACATTTTCTTTATAATTGGCCTTGTTACTATTTGAAATCACAATTGTCTGTCTGTCTTCCCTGTAAACAAAGCATCCTAATAGATACCCAGATGACCCGCGTTAAGACATACGAGGACTTTTATGTTTCTTTCCATCTCACGGAGAAACAGTGGAGAAGAGAAACATTGTGTTTTGGAGGTTTAAGACTGACATGTTAGACAGCAGTGTCCTTCTTTAAACCATCAACTAAAGAAATATCTGTTGAAAGAATGGGACACCAGGGTATACCTTCTCATCACTTTTTATTCTCTAGGCATAAAACACACAAGCCTATACATGCCATTAGTTGTTTATTATATTTAAATAAGGCATAAAGAGATATGTACATTTCCTATAATATTATTATAGCGGTATTATTTTTGTTCATCATATTGACCTCAATATAATATCTGAGGTGGTCTCAGGACAGTGACGTTATGATGCTTCTCTGTTTTTAATAGCAGTAAAAAAAGACTTTCTGTTGCGGCTACTCAGCAGGGATTTCATGTCTTTTTGAACATGTGATATCAGTATAATATCATAGGGAGGTCAGGCTGTGCAAAACCACAGAGGCCCTCCAGATAATGGGCAGAGAATTGCCTGGTAGTTGTTTGTGCGAGTGCTGCAGTCCAAGATTGAGAGAGTGGGTGGGAAATTCGTAACACACTCACACTCAGGGCGGTCTTTAGACACAAACCGTAGAAGGTATTCCACCGTGGTACCCATCGACCGCCAGTTTACTGCCCCATTTACCTTTGTATGCTGATATCAACTTGTTGCTGCAGAGAGAATGCACCTTGTCTTCCATACAAACAGTTTACTGAGATGAAGAAGAAAAACACATACTTTATCGATGTCCGAGGGAAACACATTACATACACACACAAATACACACAGGACCTATACACATGCATTTAGGGGGAGATGTCAGAGTGAGGGAACTGCCCATAGACAGGAACCCTGTGTAGTTGGGAACTAGCACCTCTCCCACCAGTCGATACGCATACTTCAACTGGCAACCGTCTGGTTCCCACGTCAAGTACCCATGGACTGCGCTACTGCCGCCCCAACGGCGGTCCAGAATTGAACCCGGGATGTTGCCGTTATATGGCAGGTGCTGTAGAGACAAGATTCTTTTCAAACAGGGTAGATTGGTTTAGGCCTCTTTCCTATACTGTTGAAGAACCCAGAGGTGCAGGCATTCAGGGTCAAGAAATGTTCCCAAAAAAATTGTGTGACCACGTTTAAGCATGCAAGAAAAGAAAAAAACAGATGAACCCAGTTATAAAACAAGCACATTATTTAACACTAAGATATTGATGCTTTGCTGGCTAATGTTACACACAACTACACACGCACTCACATCCATACACACAAAGGCAGCCCAAGGCCACGGCGGTAATAGGGAAATTAATCTCTGTCCGTGTATGTATATGTATACAAATGTAGCTGCTTGTATCTGAGCTTGTTGGCGGCGGCAACATTCGCTCCTATCATTAACCTGCACACTTCAATGTCACTTCTTGTGTCCCCACACAGACATAATGGTATCGCGAGTGTGTGTGGGACCAAGGTTCACCACCCTTGTGATGAAAACATTACGAGAAGCAAAGAGGAGAACACTCATGGTCACCCAGTGTTAAGATGCTCCGACACGCACACACACACACACACACACTCTTACAGCCTTGTGCTGTTATTCCACTGAGGGCATACTAATGGCCTACCGCCACATTCATTCCCTAGCTCTTAATACTAACCATTAAACCGCACCATGTCTCCTAACCTTCACTTAACTCGAGCTCTAAACCAGATGCTTAACCTGGCCAAAACAGTCCTTTGCTCCTCTCGGTGCACACAAGGCCGTGAGCTGTGAACTAGCCACCCTCTTTGGTTTTAATGATGAATTTCATTAGCATTTTAAAGAATGCTAATGAATCCAGGAAGGCTGACAAGCTCTTTTTTAGGGAAACTGAAGTGCAAATGTGCAAATGGTCTCGCAGGTGTGTCAAGTGTCCAGTGAAGAATAACCAGCTTCACTCAAAGTGGCAAAGCACCTTTGTATTTGTCGAAAACAATATCCAGATTTAACTTAACGAATGCCCTTGTATGTTTTGTTTGCGGAACCTGGAGATGAAAGATGTTGGAAAGGAAGGGCATCTCTCCCGATCCGTGCGATAATAAATCATCTAATTGGTCTGCTGTTCTGCTAATGACTGTTCTTGAGGATTCAGCACCCAGCTATACACAGTGGAGTTGCGTGCATTCATTGTTCTTCTTTGTTGAGTATTTTATTTATATTCATTCTTCTTCCTTCAACAGTCTTTTTTTCCGATGGAGAAAGGTGCTTTATTCATTTGATAACAAAGCAGACTGTAAACGCACGTGTTTGCTAATATCGTATGCGGTCCTGTGTCGCGCCTGTACCCCCCTACTGTTAGACAGGAATGTACCTAACACTTGTACAGTCTAACGAAAATTTATGTAGGGTTTCTCACCAGTGCATTGTACATTGTTTTTCCTCAAAGGGCATCCAGTCTGTTGATGCTGTCAAATATTAAACTGTATTTCCTGTCCCTCCCTCCCGCTCTGACTCTCTCCTTTGCCACAGAATGATCCCGCCATCGAGCAAGAACTTTCTGGTCAACAACCTGGCAGCGGGGACCCAGTACGACCTGTGCGTTCTGGCCATCTACGACGATGTCATCACCTCTCTGACAGCGACACGCGTCGTCGGCTGTGTGCAGTTCACCACCGAGTCGGAGTACATGAAGTGTCATTTCATGCAGTCTCAGTTCCTCGGCGGGACCATGATCATCATCATCGGAGGGATAATAGTGGCTTCGGTGCTCGTTTTCATCATTATTCTGATGATACGGTACAAGGTGGGTCTCTCTCTCTCTCTCTCTCTCTCTCTCTCTCTCTCTCTCTCTCTCT